ACATATGGAAAAATTTAGAAAACAACACAGTAAACATAATTATAATTAACTGTGCATCAAATACTAGTAAGTGATCAGTTTTTTTGGTTTGAGCTTTTTCCTTCGAAATTTTGGAGTTTTGTGCAGCATGAATTGAATATAAATGCTGGATGTTTGTTTGGAAATATCTGTTAAATCAAATGTAAGTAATATTGTGCAATTTTTTTCTTTGTTGACTGTTTGAAGCAGTACCTGAAACTGAAGGGTGCAATACAAGTAGGGTAAGGTTGCAAGAAAAGGAAGGAAACAGTAACATGGCTGTGAGAAGGAGTGCAAGATTTGTTCCTGATATGGACAAGATTGAAGAGCAAGACAAGGTTAAACGAAAAGAAGCAGAGACCTCAAGAGAAGGAAGAAAGCTTGGATTACAAGCTGGTGATATTGAAGTCGAAGATAGTGATGAGGACTTCGTTACTCTGCCAAAAAACAAGAAAACCAGAACAATAGGTACTTCTGAGACCATTATACAGGGGAATGAAGATGAGAAGGTCATAGAGTTTAGAAAGTTGCGAACAAGGTCTTCACCACAACTCCTGGTTAGAGCAATGAAGGATATGAATAACATACAGAAGGAAGCGGTGAACAGCATTGGGTTCGGGAAGCTGCTAGAGATGGATATTAAGGAACTTCCGGCAAAGTTAGGCTATTGGGTAGTTGAGAATTTCAACCCAAGGAAGTGTAGTTTGATTGTGGAAGATCGTAAGGAGGTGCACATTACAGAAGCAGATGTTGCAAGAGTACTTGGGTTACCGGCTGGCGGGACGAAGATTATGCCAAAAAAGAAGAGTGAGACATGTGATCTGGCGAGAGAGTGGAAGGGAATGTTTGGGAAGGGTGACAGGAAGATAAGCCCTTCTGATGTGTGTGATATGATGCTTCTATGTGACCAAGGTGTGGATTGGTTTATTAGGCACTTTGTTGTTCTATTTATGTCTGTCATAGTGGACAGCAGACCAAACGGATATGCAAACTGCAACATCATGAATAACCTTGAGAATGTGAAGAAAATAAAGGACTTAAATTGGTGCGAGCATGTATTGTCATGCTTGATTGATAGCACAATTTCATGGCATCAGAATAATGACAAAACATTCACAGGACCATTGTTATTCCTCATGGTAAGTTAAAATGAATTTTTAAGATATAATTAAATTAGTATGCAATGTGTGTATATACTAACTGTTGAGTGCAGCTTTTTTATGTTGACAGGGTTGTTCTGTACAAAAGAAGCGTGGACAGGTGTTGGCCTATTGTGAAGGGATGGAGTGCAAGATTGTTGAAAGAAAGAGAGAATCTTGAAATAAGCTGTGGTAGTTTTGGCACAGGATTTATTGATGAGCCAATGATCTTCGAACAAGAAGATCCAGATGTAATAGAGAAAGAAGATGACCTAGTTGCTGGAGCACAGGGTGGGGAGAAAGTAAGTACATTATAAACTCACATTAAGTTACATACTATTCAGTGCAGATGTGTATGCACAGTAGTGCATTATTAATTCCATATGAGTGCATGATTGGTGTATATACGCATTAGTGCACTATGCGTATCCAAAAAACGATATCGTATTTTCAATATGGTTACAAGATGTGGAGAAAAATTACAATAACACAAAATAAATGCAGTACAGTGTGTGCTTGAAATAATAGGAAATTGAACTTTTGGTTTAATTTGTGAAAATTTAAAGTTTGAGTGTGTTTTGCATTAAGAATTGAATGTGAGTGCATGAAAAATGTGTGCACATTAGTGTAGAGTAGAAATGCACATTGATACGTTTTTAATGCATAATATTTCATGATTGATGTAAAAACAGATGTTCATGGAGAGGTTTGCTAATTCTTTACTGGATTTAATGAGCATCATGGACACAGCTCCAAATTATTTATTGGTCAAACAAGAATTCATTACGATGCGTGATTGTGCACAAAAGCTGATTGTGATGGAGATTCCAGCAAATAATGGAAGTGGAGAGGTGAACGAAGAAGAAGTTAATGATGACAGGGAGGACGAGGTTTTCTGGAGCGATCCTAGCATAATTTCAAAAATAGATGAAGTTGTAAATGCAAAGAGTTTTTTCCACTTTTAGTCATCCGACTATTGTGTCATTGACATTTTTGGTACTCGACTTTGATTTTTTCCATTTTTAGTCCTTGACTATTGCGCTAGAGACACTTTTGGTACCCGTCTTTGAAAATTTTCATATTTAGTCCTTCAACTTTCATAAAAGTGACACTTTTGGTCCTTCAACTATTATAATAGTGACTTTTTAGTCCTCCACTTATTGTGTCAAAATCATAATGAGAGGACTAAAAGTGTCAATTTGATAATACTCAGGGACTAAATGCGGGAAACCTTGAAGTCGGGGACTAAAACTGTCTCTAGCACAATAGTCAAGGACTAAAAATGGAACAATTAGAAGTCGAGTACCAAAAGTGTCATTGACATAATAGTCGAGGGACCAAAAATGGCAAAAACTCTAAATGCAAATGTGAAAGAGCCGATGTCAAAGACAGGGTTAGAAGAAATTCCATCATTTTCTATTGGACTGACTCAAGAAGCAACAAATAATTTAAATGTTGATGTTGGGCAGCCCAGTGTGCAGACTAACAAGGTAATATGTATAAATGTAAATTGATTACTATGAACACAATAAATTGTTTAACAACATTGGCATGTGTAATAGGTTCAAGAAGATACACCAAGAGGGGTTCAAGAATATACTCCAGAACGGGTAGTGCAAGTTCCACTTGGAGATTTAAATGAAGTGGCATTGCGAAGACAAGGGAAAGCGACAGCGTATATGAAATCGCCATTCATGTGCAGGGTAGTTGATCCAACAAAGACCTATAATGGCCTTGAAAAGCTATTTGGTAACTGGGTTTCCAAAAAAAAGGGGGTGGACAGGTGAGTAAATGTGTCTGTCAATGTAAAGTGCATTAAGATTTTAGTAAGTGTGCTATATATGTTGTTCGTATAAACACATTGGGTTATTGACAGTGCGGAGATAATTTTCAAGTACAAAGACCTGAAGGTGACAAGAGACGATATGCTGACTTTGGAAGAAAATAGACACATATCTATCAGTCTGCTTGACGCTTGGTCTACCATATTGAACACCAAGGAAAAGATTCGAGCCGAGGGCTCACCATGTCGTTTTTTTGCACCAGCATATCCATGTGTAAGAATACATTAATTTGCCAGTTACTTTTGTAGTTATTATTTTAGTTTTACAATAATTCAGACTATGTTAACTGAAACTGTGGCAGCTATACACGCTTGACGCCCATGGCATGTCGGATGACACATCATATCTGTTGTTTAAGAAAGGCATGGTTGTAGGCCTCGAAGCAATGAAACCACAAATAAAAATGAAGGATGTACAACTGGTAAGACGAATATGAAATATTTGGTGCATGAAATATTATGTGCATGTGCATTGATATAATAGTTAAATTAATGTTTGTATTGTAGTTTTTCTTCCCAATTATCCAGCCTTCCCACTGCTACGTCTTGTGCTTCAATGTGAAGAGTGAAAAAATAGAAATTTTGGACTACTCTTCATGCAATCTGACAATGGAGCAGATGTATGATAAGATGCCCTTGTCAATGGTAATAATAATTAATTTATATTGTCCATTTCAATTGTAAAGAAATTAAATTGATGAAGAATTAATGTCATTTATCGTTGAATCTTGTTAAACAGAAGGACCTTTTGACGAAATATCTAGCGGAATGTGGAATAATTGACGGCAACAAGGCATTCCAAAAGGCCAAGGTAGCGAGGTTGACAATGAAATGGAGAGATGTGAAGAACCCGTGTGCTTACGGAATATGGACGATGAGACACATGGAAACATACATGGGTCAAAGTGTGAAGAGTTGGGATATTGGATTAAAGAACGGAGATACAAAGACCATGGCAGCATTAAGGATGAAGTACTGGGCAGCAATAGCTGGGGCAGAAGTGAATGAGCTAAAAGAAGAAAATTTCACGAAAGCAAATGAGTGTGTTCGAGAACTGAGAAATAAAAAGGTCATTTGAGATAAGACTATCACAAACTATGGGGAAGAACATATGTCATCTGTTTTAAAATATTTGAAAACTTATATTTTGATTACTGATATGATTGCTGGTGGTTTTATTACATCTTGGTTTAATTTATTGCGGCGTGCAATTAAATCTTGGTTTAATTTATTGTGCGTGCAATTATATGTTGTTATGTTAAAACTGTGCATATGCAAAAAGGTATTTTCAAGGACTTATGAATCATGAAAAAAAATTTGTCAAACAGTTTAGTGCATTATTAAAAGGAGTGAAGTGTGCAATTGAATGATTAGAAGTGCATTAACAAAATGAAACAAGGTCCATTAAAAAATAAAATTTCAAGTCCATCAACAGTTAGAGTATATGAATATTGTAGTATAAAATGATAAGTGCAACAGGTACTGATAGTGCCTGCATTACATGATGAATAGGTGAGAAAATTTTCAAATACATTTGTGTGATAACGTTGAGTGCATATGTAAAAGGAAAAAAGTGCGAAATGAAACTATTAGCAGTGCATTAATAAAAGTACACAAAGTCCATTTTTTGCTTAATATACAAAGTCCATTAATAAAGAAAAATTGAAGTCCATCAACAATGGAATTTCTATTTAATTTAGCTCACCATGCAAGTAGATATTACAATGATAAGACATGCATAATTTACATGAAACCAAATACATTACAGACCAAAAAATGAATTATGGTGACACCTGGAGTTCATTGTGGACATAATAAAAGTGCATTAAAGGATAACTAGCAGTGCATAACTTCCTTGAATTATTGTGAGATGTGGGGTGACTAGCAGTGCATAACTAGCAGTGACCCACTTCACCACAACTGGACTACGTATTACAGGATACATGACGAACGTTGACAGGCACACGAATGAGAGTACACATGTGGACCAAATACATAAGTGAAAATACATAAGTGAATTTGTAAATTAAATAGTGAAATACAAATCGTCATACAACTCTGAGGTTACAGTAATAATAACTAATGAATAGAAAGAAATAATGATAAAAGGTGGATCAAAAGAAACACTACAGACAATTCCAAAATTCCATGAAAACTGTAATCATTTTTCTGAGTTCAAAGGACAATTCCTACTGTCATGATAAACCTTCTGATTACATGTTCTGCAAAGTCTCTTAGTCTTCTTGCTGATTTCAATTGCCTTTTCCTTGTCCCCTTTGATTCTCTTGCCACAACCTTTATTTCGAGCTTGCTGAGGCGGGCGCACACTGACTTCGGTAGGAATGGATGATCCATAAAATGATTTGATAACATCCTTTTTCAAAGTTGATGGTGCACTGTTTTGTTGAGAGGCAGACAACAAGTCTTTCTGTGCCTTAATGACATCTGCAAACTGCTGAAATAAATCAGGGTCGTGCTCAATCATTCCGACACAAAAATGAATATCTGACCACAATTGCTTTATCGCTCCTTTTTTTTCTTCAGTGCCAACACACTGTTGAAAAACATTATCTTCAAACGCATTAAGAGGCTTTAGGATAGAATCTTTGCACCATCTGCGTAACACATATTTATCTGGAATAACATTAACCTTCAGATCTTTAAACACGAAAAATATGTGACGACACAATAAGCCAATCCTTTCAAAATTTTTGCACGTGCAACTTGTAGTACAATCATTTCTATTGTGCTGAACAGTGAAAGTAAAACCTCGCTCATCAGATATAACATACCGAACCATGCCATCTTCAGGATAAACACCAATTACACCACAAGAAAAACAAGCGCAACATATTTCCTGCTGAACGAGATAGAAAATGGAAATATTATAAACAAACGAAGCATATCTCTCAATACTTAAAGGTGTTTTGTACTCAGGAATGGATGACTCAGAAACTTTGATCAACTGTGCACTATTGTGTCTTTGTGAATCCATAGCACTTTCAAACTGCATATAAAATTCAATGAGACTGAAATTCGGATTCGTGAATTCATTGAAAAAGTTATTCTCGCTTTCTGAACGTGACGTAGTCCTGAGCAAACCAGCCATGAAAACGTCACCAAAATAACCAGGAATCCAAAGCCTACGGATTTCAAACATGTGTGTGAACCAGCTGTGATCAAGTAAGTCATATTCTTTCATCACCATATTCCATTCCTTTTCAAATTCAGCAGGCTGAAGATAATGGCTCCACACAACAGAATTCAGTTTATTCAAGAAATCCACATCCTTACTCAAGACAGGTCCAACTTTTGCACTAAGCTTCGACATAATATGCCACATGCAAAATCTGTGACATGTCGTAGTGAACACCTGTGGAATAGCAATCTTCATTGCTGGGTCTTGGTCTGTTATGATGCACTTTGGCTCACGACCCATTGCATTAAGAAAACAACGAAACAACCAAGCATATGATTCAACATCTTCCTTCGATAACAAACCCACAGCAAATGTAACGCATTTGTTATGATTATCAACACCGGTAAAAGGAGCAAAAACCATGTTATACCTGTATTGTGAAATAATGAAATAAAAGTGCATGAAATACCAACGAAAGGTGCAGCAAACAGTGTGATAAGAGAAGGTTATACACAGGCGAGACACATACATAGGTGTACTAAAAAATAATGAATGAAAAAAGAAATTACCGATTTGTCTCATAAGTAGCATCAAAAGAAACAGCATCACCAAATAGAGCATAGTTCCTTATGCAGACAGGATCGGCCCAAAATATGCGTGTCAATTGATCACTCTCATCGATATCATAGTCAAAAGCAAAGGCTGAAGAAACTTCTTTCTTTCTGAAAAGTTTATCTACGAGCATTTGAGCATCCACGCCAACTATGTACGCCTTCAAGTCACGTTTAAAATTCCTAAAATCAACAGATGTGGCACCTATATTGGAATAGCCGCCGACAGTTTCTTTATACAAGCGATAACATTTTGTTGTACCAATGTTTGCTTTGACACAATTGAGGAAAAACTTTTGATGACCAATATCCAGTTTCCTGTTCACTTTTAAAAATGGCATGGAAGAACTAGAAGCCATACAATGGTTATGCTTCTCTTCAAACAACGTAACCATGTATGTGTTGGCGCCAGCAAACCTAAGCACTAAACGTGCTTTACATCCAATCCTATTGGAAACTCGGCGTCTCTGTTTCTCATCCTTAATACAGAGGGCAGGAGTTCGTAAATCTTGACCAGAAGGTTGCCCATCAATTTCACCTCCAAGGACAGGATTTTGTAAATCTTGAACAGAAGGTTGCCCATCAATTTCACCTCCTTCGGATTCTGATGACTCGTTTTCATGAGTTGCCTCATTATCTGCATCTTCATTAATGCAACCATCGTTGTTATGTGTAGTTTTGCAAAGATTGTTGTTAGATGCATCCTTGCGGGATTTAGATACATTTTTGAATCCCTCCCTATTACATACCAAATATCTCCAAACAATAACACCACCATCAGGAGCCTTTGATGAACTAAAAATACGTGTTTCAAAACCACACACTGATGCATAATGATCATAAAAAACCTTAGCTTCATGCAGGTTGTTGAACAACATACCAACACACGGTTTTACAGCGGGATCACACTCGGGTGTCCAATACATAGTGGATCCAGGTGAAAGGTGCATTGTTTGGACATCAACGGGTTGGGAAATTGCAGAAGAAGCACTGAAACCAACATCATTTGAATCTGAATGAAAAAGTAAACCATTTGTACACAATCATTCATCAGAATCTTAACATAAGTGAATGCAGTAAAAAATCATTAATTTGAATCTAAATTAAAAGTAAAAACATTTCTTCACATAAACAAACAATGCATTACGTACCACATGTAAGAACATCTAAATAAGTAATTGAGTGCATTAAACAATTCTGGGAAAGCCAGAGTGCATCATGGGAAAGCATTTGGCAGCATCATCATAATACATATATTAACTAGGCATATGCATTATTTTGAATCTGAATTAAAAGTAATAACATTTCCTCACATTAACATAATTCACAAATAGTGCATTATGTACCACACGTATGAACATCTAAATAATTAATGGAGTGCATTAAATCAACTTTTGAACTACATTCTCATTAAAAAAAATGAATTTCATATAAATCCAGACACATCACAGTCAAAGTGCATCATGGGAAAGCATTTGGTAGCATCATAATACATAATATATTCACATTAGCATTATGTACAGTAATACTTTGATTCCTCGGGCAAAATGGAGTGGACCTAGGCAATTTCTAACCTTCCAGAATTTTACATACATTCGAGAAATACAGATGTAAAAACCAGGGAATAGAGAATTGTTAAAAAATATTCACCAAATATATTCACAATTACATCAAAAACATTGAAAGAATCGAAGAGCACATAAAAAACTAAAAAAATAATAGCATAACAAAGAACAGAGGAACGATGCTAACCGGTTTCCATGGCAGAATTATGTTTAACCAGCGTCAAGAAGGGAATCGGCTTGACAGACAGGGACGATGGAGAAGAAGCAGGAATGAAACCGCTAGAGAAAGGAAAGAGAAAAGATGCAAAAATTAATGGATGATCAACAAGGAAAGAAAATTTGAGAAACGGTTATGGAAAGAAGAAGGTGCATAAATAAAGAAAGCCTTCGTACGTGCGTTGGCTAAAAAAATAAAATGACATGAATAGCCTTTAGAATGAGCAGTTGCACGTGAGATTCAGCACAATATCGGACGGCTCATCTTCATTCTTATTTCTTTCCTGAGATACTATTCTCATTTGAACATAAATCTATATATATATATATATATATATATATATATATATATATATATATATATATATATATATATATATTGCAAGGGGCCACGTGAACGCAGGCACCCCTATATATTGATTAATGATCAATCTGCTTATCTTTTTTAATTTTATTTTCTAATTCGCTTGTTTTCCCTGGATATGTCAAATACAGAAGTATTTGACATTGTTTTCCCTAGATATGTCAATTATAGAAGTATTTGACATTGTGAATTTACATAACTATCTTCTGGCGAACGAACTGTTGCAGAACCTTACTGAGATTGACAGTGACATTGTTTTTTGAAAGAACTACATGTAAGATACTTTTTCATATGAATTAGACATTAGTTGTTGTGAATTAAATACTCATTATTATATGTTATATAGTTGTGAATTATTTTCATATGTTTCTTGTGTATTATATGCGAATTACGTGTAACTTCTTCATGTGCATTAGATATTGATGGTTGTGCATTGGATACTGGTTCATGTGCCGTTCTGGTAACGAATTCATTTTCGGTCTTTCAGTGCAATTTCCGCACAAAAATTTAATAGCTACAATTTTTGTACTTTCTGAGTTTAAACCACGTGATTTGATAAGTGCTTCCAATTTTTCCTTACCTGTTGAAAGTTTTGAGGCAATGGATTTACGGAAACCGTATCATTAATTATTGATCATTACAAACTATTTAAATGTTGCATCCATTAAAATTGACCATGATCTTGTGCACTCATTCTTCATCTGTTTTGAGTGTTTATGATTTGTTCTCACTTCTCACGATAAGAGTTGTTCTCATAAGAACCACTCCCTAGACACACACAGGGAGTGGTTCTGGTGAGAAAGGACTCCTAGGAGAGAAATGAGAATTAATTTGGACCATTGGATTGTACTATGTATATATTATCTGAAACTGAATTGTGCATTTGGTGAAACTGAAATGTGCATTAGGTGAAATTAAAATGTGTATAATAAAAGGTAAAAGTCAAATGTGCATTAGGTGAAATTGAAATGTGCAGAATAATAGTTACAAAAATGGCATAGGATCGTACCTTTTATTTTGCACATTTTAGTTTCACCTAATGTACATTTGAGTTTCACCTAATGCACATTTCAGTTTCACTTAATGCACATTTCAGTTTCACCTAATGCACAATTCAACTTCATATAATGTCACTGTATCATACCTTTTGTGTTGCACATTTCAGTTTCACCTAATGCACATTGAATTTCACATAATACAACATATTAATTCCATGTTGATAACTATGATGTCTAAGGTATAGGAATATGACACTAGTTATTATTAAGGACTATATTGATGACACGTAACCCTTGCACTGTCCTCAAAGTAATATGTCCAATGAACTTTATTTTTGTCTAACAAACATCTATGTAATTGATTAACGTGAAATATGAAAATATCATACACGTGACAAGTGGAATATAGTCATCGGCTAATCCACATATTGCTCTATAGTTGTTAATATTCATAGTAATAATATTAGACTATGTACGACTGTACGGGTTATAGTATTATGCTTAAGAATGTGTATCACTCAACAACTAAGTCAAATACTTAATTAGCTACTACTAATTTTATTAATAAAGATAACTCTTAATAATTACTGTAACATTAAATGAGTTTATAACTATATTAATTACTAAACATGAATATCTGGCCCTAAAAAAGTCATAAACTGTGATTTCTGTAGGGCATATCTCCAATAGAAAGAATAGTTACTAGATTTAGTTTCTACATTCTCCCAATTTTGCATTCTAGTTTCTACAATACTATATTACAATGAATTTAGTGGTGCACGTCCAAAAGTTATTCCAAATAGAATTTAAGCAATTTAGCAATTAAATGAAATGAAGTAATGGTATTTGTTTTCCCAACCATGGATTAAAATTAAATGAAGTAAAGTATTTATTGAGATTACACGGTAAAGCATTCATGTATCAAAATATGGCAATTTCGAATGTACTATACTTTTCTTATACAAATAAGATATATACCTTAAACTATTTTTTCACAACTCTAGAATTCCACTATCTATATGAAAATGTCAAAATTATTTTAACATGGCATGCAATACATATTATGATTTTTTTTTAAAGTACCATGTTTATTTTTTAAATGATATGTATTACTCCCTCAGTCCCAAATTGTATGATACATTTACTATTCACTTGGTCAACATAAATCAATCTTAATCTTTTATTTTATATATCAAAAGTTTATGAAATTTGAATTATTTTTTGCAGGTTTTGTAGCGGTTTTAATGTAGTTTATGAATATGTAAATTTTATTTTCTAGAACTAATATGAGTGTTGTCAGGGATCAATTTGCTTTATCATCAGTCAAACATCGTAAACCGTAATGTATCTTACAAATTGGGACGGAGGGAGTAATATTTTGAAAAGACATGCATTTCCACATGCAATGACATATTTATATACAAAAATTCCATTATAATTTTAACATGTCATTTGTTTTCTAAAATAACGATTTCACTATAAGAGATGGCCGCGACAGAGGAGACGGTGACTATGTCGGGGTGCTGCTCTCACCAGAAGGTGACAATGGAGTCTCACCAGAGCAAAGCAGCGGCAGTCCCTTAGGAGGGAGGTAGTGGCGGTAACATTAAACGGTGGTTGTTGTCTTGCTGGAGGGCAGAGACAGTGGTGTCACCAGAGGGTGGTGACGGTGCTATCGTTGCACAGGGCCAATGCCATTAGAGGCAATAGTAACCAAGGTATATTGTATGTTGTTGTTGTAGGGTTCTTTAATATTTCTTAATTTATTCATCATTAAGGGTAATTTAGTAAATGAAGCTATGAGACATAGTTGTTCGACCAAAGGATTAGGGGATTACATTGGTAAATATCCCTTAATTGTGTAAGTGTTTTAACTTTTAAAATTAAATGAAGAAGAAATTAAAATAGTGCATTGTTACGTTCTTAAATCAAGTATTGTACTGTAATTATATAAAAAATACAAGAAGGTGCATATGTTGAGGATGTACTATAATTCTAATGGTTTGGTCACTTTGGTGCATGCATGATATGATGACCATTTCTTTTCACCTTTTTATTTTATTATTTCATAAACTAACAATATTTTCAAGGGGATGAGCAAGTAGAGAAGTCCATGTTCCCTCCAATTCATCAACATTTTGCTTGTAATCATTATCATCTAGATTTGACCGCAACTCTTCCCCGTGATTACCATCGGGCCTCAAGTAGGTTGTAGAAGTCCGCATGGATGAATGGTTACTAAAATGAGGATGATCGGTAAAGAAGAGATCATGATCATTTCTAAACTCTAGAAGGCCACCACATGTTGAGGTGGCGGCCAGAGAGTTAGTGACATCATTATTGGTGATGTCATCATTATCATTGATATAATTTCTGCCAAACAAGTCGTCGAATTCAGCGCGTCGTTCATTGACGCCATCATAATTGTCGTTGTAATCATAATACCCTCTTGTGGAAGTGGTACCCTCTTTGATCCACGGAAAATCAAACACGCCGACTTCGACATCCAACAACAACTCATTATTGTTGTCATCTGATGACTGCGACGACGTGAACTCAAGCCTTTTTGTGTTATTGTTGTTGTTAACCGACACGATCATTGGTAAAGCTTCCTCCTTTCTTCCTCTTTTCTTGCTTATGTGCCTTTCCATCACACCCCCGATCCTTAATTTCTCATGGGATAAGATGGAGATGTCTAATACTTCGTATATGTTTATTAATTGATTTATGTTTGTTGTACCACACACATTCGAATTAACGAAAGATTGAGATGAAAGTTCATGACATTAATGAGTGAAGTATTATTAAATAGTGTAATATGCACGGATAAAGGGTTGATCGATTCCTAATTGTTAGGCATGCACACTCTTAATTGCGATTGTATCGTTCAAAGGCACAAGCAGATACACAATTCTCGTTCCACTCATCCTCCTTTCATTCTTGAAAAGTGATAACTAACTGCACATTATATATGTGTCTATTATAGTATTCTTCATATGAATCACCGCATTTATTAAAATTAAAGGTACACTGGGGAATCATATGATTTAAATTATGAGGACAACAAATTATGTACAAAAATACATAATTGATTTGTGAAGGAATCGAAGATCGTTACAATTAAATCAAAACTTGGAGAATTAGATCATTTTACTTGGCTAATTTTCTTATTTATATAGATGTTATACTAATGGTGAGGGAACTTTGGGACTCGGATACAAATGAGGTAATTTGTCAAAAAGCTTTGTTGGTCACACTAGAAAATTGTCTGCCCACTCAGAATTTGAATACCCAAAAAAGAATGTACAAGAAGAAGAATCAACGGCCGCATCTTATGAGAACTAGATCTCAATCAAGGGTAGAGTTGTGAAGATTTATTCAAGGGGTCTAAGGGTCAAAGATTAGTTTGGGAGGGCTTTCTTGCTATACTTTGGGTTGGGTATTACCGTGTTTAGTTTGTTTTTATTTGCTTTTGCTTTCATTTCTTCTTTGCATTTTTTCCCTTTCTCCTTGTACTATCTTTTTATCTTTATTAATAAAGTTCCATTTACGCAAAAAAAATAAAAATAGATGCTATACTAATGATACTTTTTTGCATGTCAATTTCTGTTCATAATTTGTTGTCCACACAATTGAAACACACGATTCTTCAGTGTACCTTCCGTTTTAATAAATGCAATGATAATTAATACGAAGAGAATGAACACATATATAATGTGCACTACGTTAGTTTCCAAGAATGGAAGGAGAATCGGGTGAGTGGAACGAGAATTGCGTACCTACTTGTGGCTTTTAGAGAGACAATCACAAATAAGAGTGTGCATGCCTTACAATCAGGAATCACTCAATCCTTTATACGCGTGCCTCACAATGACATGGTATTTCATCTCGATCTTGTCTTAACTCTCACATTGACATGAAATTTCATCTTGATCTTTTGTTAATTCGAATATGCGTATAGTACAAATATAAATTAATTAATAAACATATATGATGGAAAGGCAGAGAAGTAAGAAGAGTGGAAGAAAAGAGGAAGCTTTAACAATGATCGTGTCGTGTAACAACAACACAACAAAAGGGCGTGAGTTCACGTTGTCGCCATCATCGGATGAAAACAACAATGATTTCTCGTTGGATATCGAGGCCGGCGTGTTTGATTTTCCGTGGATCAAAGAGGGCGGTGCTTCCATGAGAGGGTATTACGGTTACAACGACAATTATGATGGCGACTATGAAGGACGTGTTGAATTCGATGACTTATTTAGCGGACATTGTATGATAGATAATGATGACATTTCCAATAATGATGCCACTAACTCTCTGCCCACCACATCAACTACATGTGATGGTCTTCTAGAGTTTAAAAATGATCACGATCTCTGGTTTGCTGTTCATCCTCATGTCCATAACCATTCATCCATGCGGGCTTCTACAACCTACTTGAGGTCTGGTTGTAGTTACAAGGGAGAGTTGTGGCCGTATCTAGATGATGACAAGCAAAATGTTGATGAATTGGACGGAACCTGGACTTCTCTGCTCGCTCATCCCCTTGAAAATATTTAGTCTATGAAAGATTAAAAGAAAAAAGTAAAAAGAAATGGTCATCATATCATGCATGCACCAAAGTGACCAAACTACGCCATTAAAATTAGAGTATGTCCTCTACATACGCATGCACCTTCTTGTATTTTTTTTATGATTACAAATTTAGAGTACAATACTTGGTTTAAAAACGTAACAACACACGAGTCAATTGACTTGTATATCTGTTGAGATATATTATCTCGGTCTGTTACTGTTCAGAAGTCCAATACATCGCCCCAGTACGAAGCCTGAATGGCGAGGCCCATTTCAGTCTTTCGGGTCTGTTTCGTCCCTTTGGGCCCATTTCGGCTCGCTTGGCTCGTTAGGGCGGAGAGCATCCCTCCCCCTTTCCTCTGGACATGACTAATTATTACAAGGTTTGGAAATCATGTTCTGGAAGTGATAACCGCCTTCGCGGCGTTGTAGTAAAACGGAGTTTAACCTTTCCGGATGGAAAAGTTTATCCCCGAGTATCGTGTCTCTGAGGAGTGGCGGAGGGAAGTGTTGGTTACGATATCGGTCACCGGTTAGTACGAGTCGTTGCAAGCTTCTCAAACGATTAATTATATTGTGATAATGATTAAGTAATTAAAAATAAATAACAAAAGTAGTAACGGCAAATTTAACTAAATGACTTTAATGAGTAAACTAAAACTAGTGAACATGCTAAATATCTTGAGAAAGAAAATTAACTAACTAAAATATTAAACTAGCAAACATGTGGATAAGTAAAGTTTTGAAAATAAAATACTTAAAGGTAAATTCAATGTGACTAGTAACGAAAAATTAACTAATTAAAAGTGGGGTCTAGATTTGGAATTAAGGATCTTGGGTGTCTATGATTATGAACGAATATGGGAAATTTTCTCCAATTTAAGAATAGTGATATATTAATTCTCATAGACAAGAACTTGATTTTAATTCCCCTAACATGTCCTATTTCTAGGCTTAGTTTAAGGTGTGTGAGATATGAGCTAAATTAAATTCTAAACTCATAGACAAGAAAGAATTAATCTTCTAAAAATTAACAAGTGAAGTGATCAATTTCACAAATTACTCTTTCAATTTCATCTCAAACAACTAGTCCTAAAATTGGAGAAAATTCCTAAATTCAATTCAATGTTCAAGAACACCCATTAACCTTGACTTTGTCCAAATCCAAACCCCATGGAAATTTAGCCTAATAACATCCTTATCAAGAAACTAACACCATTAATGGAGGAGCAAAAGTAATACATGGAAACATACCATTCAAATACATATTCATTCAACATAATAACAGTTCAAAAATCTAACTTAAGAGCAGTTTGAAATTATAAATAATCCAAGAACCAAATTTAAAGCTTATTCAAACATAAAATTATAGACAAAACCTTAAAATAGCAATTGATGACCATGGAGTAGCTTGATACAATGTAATTGTTCAGCTGCGTTTTCTTCCTTGTGCTGCGTTTCATCCTATCCGGCCAGCTGCTATCTTGATTCTGCTCTGCCCTAGCCCTGCGGCCAAGAGCTCGTTTTTTTCTTATTTTCTGCGAACTGATTTGTTGGGAGTGTATTCTTTTCTTCTGCTGACAAGTGAGTGTTTTTTTTCATGAGTTAACTGCTGGAAGGTGTATTGCGGCCAGCTGCTCCTATCCCTTTTGTGCAGCTCGTTGGTTCCTCCCCCCTTCTCCGAAGTTGTCTTTTTTTTTTGGCTTGGGGTTAAGCACTCAAAAAGTCAAAGCACATGTCCTTTCTTTCCCAGGAAATTTGTTGGCTCCTTATCCTCCACTTATCTCCTTTCTTCGTCTGTTCTTTTTTTTTTGTTCTTTTGTTTATTCTTTGTATCGTAGCCTGGCTGCTTTTCTTTTTGTTTTCTTTAACTTTTTGCTTCCTTTTTTTGTTTGTAACGCAGCCTTGCTGCATTTTCTTTTTGGGTTTTATCATTTTTTATTTATTTAGTTTTCTTTTACTTTATTTCATTTGTTTATTGTACTAAAAGATATCTTATTGAAATATAATAGAATGCTAAATTTGACAAATCACAAAATAACCAAAGTACAAATAAGTGAAAGAAAAAAAACACAAAATCAATCCAAACACTTCAATTAAGCACAAATTACTAAAAAACGTAAATTTAAACACTAATTTCAAACATTAACAAAAATGCAATAAAAATAAAGAAAAATGCTTCAATTTGCCCCGAGTTTAAGAAGAAACGCTATAAAAAGTGAGTGAAAATATATGAACAAATTAGACTTATCAGGAAGCTGTAATACTTTTTGGGCGTACAGTTGGGCAATTAAATATCTAGTTCGTCCACATTAAATAAGGGGGTTCCCTTTATAAGGGGGTAAAAATCCCTTGGATTTGATCGGCATCCCGCGCGCGAAGAGAGTCTTTCCACCTAAGAATCTTAAGTCCTTCAAAGAGGGTTCCCTTTATAAGGGGGTGAAAATCCCTTGGGTTTTTCGGTGTGGGATATATCACTGTAGAAACCCATCATTTTCCTAGTTTTCTCCATTCCAATGAGTGAACTTCGAGAATCAATTTCTCATTCACCCGTTATCCATTTTGAGTGTACCATATATCGAATTGTAGCCCTTAACAAGGTTTAACAAGGAGAATCCAAAACCACTTTGACCCGATCCAAATCGGAAGTGGACCCAATAAAAATATTGCCCAAAAATTGACCATTTAATGCAATTTTTAACACATTTTCCAACACGCGAAATTAATGGTATCAATTACTTTGACACATATGCATTGGTAGGTAGAATAACTACCATAAAATTGTTAATTGCTTTATCGGCCATATCCATTCACAAACTTGTGATTCACCAAATGGATGTCAAAACTGCATTCTTAAATGGTGATTTGAAGGAGGAGGTGTAACAACCTGACAAGAAAACAAAGTTTGTAAACTTGTTAAGTCCGTGTATGGTCTAAAACAAGCACCAACCTAAACAATGGCATCAAAGGTTTGATGAGGTGGTGCTGAAAAATGGTTTCAAAATAAACCAATCAGATAAGTGTGTATATAGCAAATTTAATGAGCAAGGCAACAGTGTCATTATTTATCTATATATATGTGGATGACATGCTCATATTTGGCACTGATCTAAGACAAGTGAAAGTGTGACACCGCACCCGGATGTACTTGAATTTGGAGTTTGATATGTATTTGAATTTCCTAGCGAATAAAAATCGTGTAACTGATTGGTATATTTAATTAATGTGTGATTAATTAAATTATTTATCGGGTTCCTAATAATGGAAATGGACTCCCAAATATTTAGTTGGGTCATCGTAATAATTTTAGAAGCCCAATAAAGTGCCAACTAAAGTTGATTAAAAATATTTGGACAACCCGGGTGCTATTTTGGTCCAACCTGCCAAAAATAGCAGGAATAATTGGGAGGGGCTTCCTACACCCACTTGGGGTATTCTATCAGCCAAATAACTCCCAAATAATGGGAAGGGGACAAGTTAGCATGGCTTGGGGCGGATTATTGAGTGAGGTGATGTGCAAGACAAACACCCACCCTCTTTTTGGCCTTGTCTACACTTTGATTGGGGTGTGATTGAAGGAGGATATTTCCCCTTGCTCTCTACTCCATACGAACAAGAGAAAGAGCCAGAGGAAGCTTGGAACAAACTCTCACAACACAACAACTTTGAAGAAGGGAACTAGTAATCGAACAAGAGATAGCTTGTGTTGAAGGTAAGAACTCAAGTATATCTCCTAACTAGTTTTATGTTGTATGATTTTTAAGAAATCATATGATGGATTATATATGAAGTTCTACATGTTTAAAAGTGTAGAATAATGTTATAAAGTGGTGGTATTTAACTCAGTATAGGAGTTGAAACCGCCGGAAACCGCCAAGTATAGGAGGCTGTTCGTAGTTGCAGACCACGAAAGCCGCCCAGCTTTCGTGAAAGCCGCCCGACTTTTGGCTGCTGTCCAAAATTTCCACTTCTAATCGGTTTAGAACGGGGATTGGTCGAAGGGCTTAACAAAGGTAACTATTGCAGCACTTCATAAGGTGAGGATGGCTGACTATATTGCTTATAATCCTTGGGTTAATTTCATAAGATTACCTAAGGTAATTAAATGTGATTTTCATGGATTATTAATGATTAATAATGCCTAAATGAAAATATTATTGTTTATGAATAGAAGATGCATAACATACAAATCTATGAGTAAATGGTGTATGGTGATGCATTATAAATATGATGGTATGATGATTGTATAAACCATGAATTTTTGTGATGAAATATACTTTTACTTCATGTATAGAAATCATGAATGGATAAAAGTGATATTTTTGATATTGACATTAAATGATATACGGATTGGAAACTCCATAGGAATGAACCTTATAAATATGAAATTAAAGAGCTTGGTTGCTTAAGGACAAATGGATTAGTATTGAATTTACTAGTCGGAAATGTTAGTATGAAAAGTGATAGAACAAATCCTAAGGGCTTGGATTGTGAAAGATGTACCTTAAGTAGTCTTATGAGATGTCTTAAGGTAGAAATGGGTAACCGCTAAGTTACATTAGGAGTATGCCTCATAGGCTACTCATAATAGAGGAACTCTAGGCATAGAATTTGCTTAGTAAACCAGTATCGTGACTAGAGAAAGCCTCTAGCACGAAGAGGAATGACTAGAGGAAGCCTCTAGCATTCATGTAGGACGACTAGAGGAAGCCTCTAGCGTAATGTAGGATGACTAGAGAAAGCCTCTAGCATAACGTAATGTGACTGGAGGAAGCCTCCAGCACAACGTATGTAAGGTGATTAGAGGAAGCCTCTAACACCAAGTAGAGTGACTAGAGTAAGTCTCTAGCACAACAAAACATGACTAGAGGAAGCCTCTAGCATGGTGAACTAATATAGATGGGCGTGGCTTGAAGTCACGGGGAAAGGGTTGAATGTTTTCAAAGTAAACATGGTCCTTCGGCCGACTACTTGACTTTATATATAAAGTAAGTATATTTTCAAAGAGGGTAACCAAGGGTTATGACCTATAATATAATATCACTCTATTTGAGGGTCTTGGAAATTGAAACATTGATTATACTTAGTATAGTTGTCATTGTACTTGTCAAATGTTTCCAAGTACTGACCTCTCCTTCACGGGGGAGGCCACCTCACAGTTTCAGATAGAACTTGAAGGTTGCTACCATCGCCCATTGCTCTGGGAAGAATCCAAGGAGAGAAGACGTGGTTCGTGCTTCCTCCGTATCTGTTTTAAAAATAATTATCTTAAATGCTCATGGATATTTTTTCTGAATAATTATTTGGGGCTTGTATGCCCATGTTTGCCACGTGTGGCTTGAACACTTGTATTGATGTTTTCGCTGCTTAAATGAATATTTTACATTATGATTGTTTATGGATGTGCTATGTGTGAATGGTATTCAAGACGCCTAGTATAGTATGGATGAGTTGGACTGCGGTTGACTATTCGTACTGTACGGCGGGTTGTTGACGTGTCCGGTAGGTCCGGGGCGTGACAGAAAGAGACAAAAGCTTTCCTCTGTTCATACTTCTCCATGAAAGATATGGGTGAAGCGGAAGTTATCCTTGAAATTAAGATAATTAAGAAAGGTGATATTATCACCTTAACACAATCTCACTATATAGAGAAAGTGTTGAAAAGATTTGTGAGTTTGGATTGCTCACTGGTTTCCACTCCTATGGATCCTAGTTGGAAATTAGTTCCAAATAGTGAGAATGTTGTATCACAGCTTGAATATACTATCGTATATGTTAGGGTAATTGGGTGTTTGATGTATGCAATGACTAGCATCCGATCAGATATTGCATTTGCGATAGTAAAGCTAAGTAGATATATTAGTAACCATAGTATATTTCACTGGCAAGCATTGAGATGAGTGTTGAAATATCTAAAGAGGACAATGAGCTGCGGCTTATGTTACAAGAGTGAACCTTTTGTATTAAAAGGTTATACAGATGCAAGCTGAATAACTAATCAAGAGGATTATTCATCCACAAGTGGGAGGCTATTGCTTCTTCGAGGAAGTACTATATCATGGGCATCTAAGAAACAAACTTGTATCACAGACTATACAATGACATCCGAGTTTATAACGTTATAGCTTGTAAAGAAGCAGAATGGCTTAAGGATTTTGGTAACAAAAATTGCGGTATGGCCTAAACTCAAAGGGGATGGGTTTAAAGCCCTTGGAATATACTCACAAGTGAAAGAAAGCTCAACTTAATTGTCTAGTACAACGCTAGATCTTGAGTTCAATGACGATGAGTAAGTCACTCCGTGATTGGAGCACTTTTAAATAATAATCATCCCAAGGCAAGTGCTTGAGTCTGCAATGCATTTGTTATGAGGTTGAGTATGTCTTAATATATCTTTTGATAAAGAGTTTTATTGCAGAACACAATTTGAAAAGACCTACCTGTGTGAGCTAAGCTAGAATGGCGGCCAATTCACTAAGTTTAAGGTTTGACTTGTTGGAACTCATTAATGGATATGGACACAAGGTCGTTAATAGTGTCGAGTTTCTAAGTGAAATTGTATAAAGATTTATGTGTGTAATATCTTCGATATTTCAAAGTGGTTATATAGTTCAAAGCTTAGTTTACTATTATGATCCGAAATATTGTAAAGAATATTGTACTACATGAAAGTTCAATCTTTAAGACACTTTCTATTATGCATAAATTTTGATAAGTAGTCTATTTGGCAAGAATTGAGCATGTTATATATTTTCAATAAATGGAGGAGGATTGTT